GGATCCATAAAACTTATCCTATTATAATCATGAAACAACTCCATTATTTTGACTGGTTCTGTTGAGGTGATTTATTCTTCCTTTGAATCCTTCAAAACTTTGCATTCCCACAACTTTTCAATCCTGGTACCCACTAATTAATCATCACTCCTTTTGACCAGCTTATAATTTCTTGCCACATTGTTACTCATCTAGTTTACCTCAAATGATGTTCCTTCCTTCAGACTTATGATCCAAGGTCAGCAAAACCCTGATTCTATCACTATGCCTTTGCCAAGCATGGGAAGACATTTAAAGCCTTTGTCTAAATCAACACTAGGCTTGTGGTCTTCTTGACAAAGTGATACATCTTGTTAGTGTCTAGTTATCTCAAACATAGACTTCTTATTTCACCAACTATTCACCTGAAAGCATAAGTGTCAGTTCTTATTTCTTCACTGCCTTGAAATGTACTAGGTACATAGAAGTTGCTAAACTACTTTGTTCAATGGCTTAACATTAAACATTACTTAAAGAAGTAATGTGTATCATGTCACAAAGGAGACTCTTTTATCTTAACAAGATACCTTCAAACAAATGAATAAAAACTAGACTTTTAAATGGATTTCTCATAACAGGGACTGTGGCTTTGATTAAGAAGGAGCCTCAGGGGGCTGGAGAGATGGCTCAGAAGAGCACTGCTTGCTCTTCCAGAGGTCCTGAGTTCAATTCCAGAAACCACATGGTGGCTCACAACCATCTATAATGTGATCTGGTGTCCTCTTCTGGCATTCAGGTGTACATGTAGGCAGAACCTTGTATACATAATAAAATAAATAAATCTAAAAAAAAAAAAGAAGAAGAAGAAGGAGCCTCAGCTTTAAATCAAATTGCCTGGACTTGGACTCAGATCCCTGTTCTCCCACCTAGTGTGAGTTTTGAAAAGTTAACTAAAATCTTTGCATGTTAATATATTTTCATGAAAACAGAAGGAGATAACAGGATGGCTCCATGGAGCTATTATGAGATTAAATGAGTTGTGTCACATCCTGGAAACAATTTTGGTATATAGAAATTGTTCCATAAATTTCCGTTTTTACCAAATGTTTGTTACACATATAATGATAGTGTCTCAAAGCTCAAAGAACATTCACTTTATAATCAAAGAGTTGAGGAATCAAAGTAAATAACTGGCTCACAGAGTAAATTTAGAAGCTAAAAAAAGCATAGTTCTTTTGACCTATTTTCATGGAATTTTTCTCCATAAGGATCTCTAAATCTGAACATGAACTAAGGGGCGTTCAAGACTCTCCAGTTTAACTCCCCAATAAGGGACCACACTGCATTATCATTTACCACAAATATTGCTTCTTTTTCGGGAACTCCATTTCATAGATTCTTAGTCACAGGAATGGGGCATGTGGGGATTCTAACAGAACTGTATCATAGGCCCAAGTAAAACTAAGAAACACATGAGCAACAGGACTGGATGCCAAGGTCGGGTCCTCTGAGTTCAGATGAAGCCACTTTTAATGTGCATCTTCTGAAAAACAAAAATGTTCAGGGAAAACGTGGTCTGGAAGAGTCATTATAAAGTTGTGACCCAGGCCATCCTGCTCATACACGAATGCTTTGCAGATAGTGAAAATGCTTTGCCTGGGAAGAACCTGAAATTATGATTCTGATGAACTCTGAGCAACCTCTTTAACAGCTGGGAAAGGCACAAGAGCCAAGTACCCATACCAGGCATGATTTCTGATGGTTTCGGCTTCCTTTGTCATTGTCTGGAACAGTATTCAGCCTGGTTGTGCAATCGGGTATGCCAGTATTTTAAATTTTATCCTAGCAGATACAGACTTCCAAGAGAAATTGCAGCAACACAAAGGTTGCTATTGACTAGGCAAAAATACACCTGTAAGAAAGAATTCTCTTATCAGATGGGGGAAATACTGTTTTCTGCCTCAACTTAACAGTAAGGGAAAAAATTTAATTTCTCTCTGATACAAATGAAATCATCATAAGTAGCAAGAGTGATGGGAGGGAATGTCACGCTAAGTAATCACCTAGGAGTCCATGGAGAATGATCAACTGCCACCTCGCCTGCCCACAAGACTCTGAGAATCTGTGTTCTCACTGGAGGATTATTTTAAATTCCTCATTGTAATACAAGGACTCTGAGCTTTATTTTTATTGCTTGGAATTTTATTCCTCAAAGCATGACGTTTCCATTATATTGAATCAGAAAGGTTAGTTACCTTCTTTATATTGAAGATGGACCAGGCACAGTCTTGGTCCAACAATCCTATAGTGATTCATGGTTCCTCTTTAGTGTTTATAATATTTTATACACGTCTCTAAATGTACTTGTGACAATGATTTTTTATGGTTTTGAGCCTAGCCTTTACCAGCTGAGCTACCTCTTCCATCCAACAATAACTTTTTCTATCCACCTGTGTATAATGTCTGATTCTGTACTTGTAAACTCCTAAGAAGAGCCTCCACATCTCATATGTCTCTGTATTCTTCCATTGCCTTCTGGTGTCTCAGATGGACTGTTACAGTAATTTTTATTTGTCTGATGTAATTGTCATCTGGGGTCACTGCCTCCACCTCCACCTAGCCTAGTCCAGGAAGCTTCTAGCCTCCATACTATCTAATCTAGGCCTAGAATACTTTCATCCTCTGAGATTTACTGCTGATTAAGCGCACCCTTTTCAGCTCTTTTTGAACTCTGGCTGGCTTGTTCAACTCAGCTGTTCTGGCTTCAACACCTCTCCAAGCTGACTGATTCAATCTGGCTTCTCTCAGTTTCTCACTGAAATGGTCTGCTTAACCTCAAACTAACTCTAGCAATCTGTTCTAATCTTCTGGTTCCTTCTCATTCTCTGGCTTGTTCTGTTTTCACCTGTGTCTAGCTTGTTCTCTCTTCAACCTCTCTCTGTAACACTCTCCTGGCAAAAACTGTCTCTGAATTCCACAAAGTGAACTACCACAAACTCAACTCCACTGCACTGCCTCTCAACTCACTGTTAACCAAACTGAATGCACAGAACTGACCAGAATTCAGAGATCTGCATGTATCTGTTTCCTGCATGTACATACATCCTGAGTGATGTATTTAAAGGCATGTACCACCACTCTTGGACCTAAGCTTTACCTGAAACGTGTTCTATACCAGACTGGCCTTGAACTCAGATCTGCTTGCTCTGTCTCCTGGAGTTAAAGATATGTCTGTATTCCAGCTGGAGCACATAAACTTGGAAGTTATTACCGAAGCAGCCATGTTCTGAATTAAAATTCCTCTACAATTATCTGCTCAGTAAATGTGTTGTTTAGTTTCAAATGTACATTTGCTAAGGGATTCTACTTAAAAAGTGTAACTAGTGAGCCGGGCTCAGTGGTCTGTAATCCCAGCACCCTGGGAAGCAGAGAAACTTGCTCTTGCGAGTTCAAGGCCAGTCTGATCTATAAATCGAGGCCAGGACAGCCAAGGCTACACAGAGAAATCCTGTCTCAGGAGTGGGGGAGGACACAGACCTTCAAAAGTATGACTAATGGATTCTTAGGGTTGAAATATCTTTTATTTCCACTTCTGAGATATCTTATTTTTGAAACAGAATATTTTTAAAAAGATCAGCACTGCAACTTTGAAGTGCTGCTTGCTTCCTTACTATGTAAAAGTGTCTAGCAAATATGCTGCTGCTGCTGCTGCTGCTGCTGATTATTATTATTATTATTATGGAAATTTGCAGAGGTTTCAGTTAAGGGAGACCTTATCATCTCCTTGTGACAGAGGAAAAGAGAAAGCCCACAGGTCTATCAAGAGGCTATTCAGGAAAGACTATCCTGCTGCCTATAAAAACCACACAGCACCCAGATTCTGATTCTGAGATCCTGTAAATATGCCTAAATAGCCACATTGCCAAGTTTTCTCTTTAATGGTTTTCCTGAGAAATTAGCAGGTTTCATGTTTATGAAATATTTAGTGGCTCCCCATTAGGCCCATAGACAAGACTAGCTTAATGATTTACAGTGTTTATTCTAAAATAAAAATGCAGAGCCCTTTGTGCCAAGATTAGGAGTTCAAGACAGTGACACAGAGCAGTTAGTGAAATAAAGACCCTTTCTAAGCACAGAACCTTCTGTGTCTTCACTAGTCCCAACCTATGAAGCCAGACTTGTCCTTCCTCAAAGTACTTCTATACAGTGGATGGCAAAGTCTATGACTAGGGACAGAGCAAAATTTAGGTGCATACAAAGAGCTACAGGAAGCTGGAAGGAGCTTCTAATTTTGTAAGAGGTAAATTTAACTTTTTTAAAAAATGTGTTTGCTTTGTCTGTATGGATGGCTATGGACCACGTGAATGCCTGGTGCCCGTTTAGGCCAGAATAAGGCCTCAGATCTCCAAGTGGAGTTACAATGACTGAGCACCATGTGGGTGCTGAGAACCAAGTCAGGTCTTCAAGAACCACAGGTGCTCTTAAGTGAGCCACTTGTCCAACCCCACGAAACTTAGTTTGGGGAGAGCAGTTAGAGAAGAAAGCAATTCTAGATTAAAGGAGCAGCGCTGTGAGCAGGCAGAAGTCCCCTGTTAGAACAGGGTTAATTTTTAGTAAGGTCGATCACATTAACTTCTAAGAATGGCGACTGAGACTGCAGAGGGAGGCCATCATAGAGACTGAACACAAGGGACCGCCGTGTACCAACTACCTCCATGTCATTTTAAACTACATTTGTGTGAACAGTCATTTTACAGATTTAGGTATACCATAGTGATGTTTGGCAGGTCTTCTTATACAGTAATACTGAGAGCAATAAATGCTTTGAGGATGCCTAGCAGGTGGCACAGTCCTTTTAGCTCCTATTTTGGCTGCTAAAATCACTTTCAACGCCTGCCGCTGAACTTTCTTACTCTGTCCAGAGCCCCAAGCACTCAGTCCCTGCGCCTTGTCCCGCCCCTCCCCCTCCCATGCCACGTGCTGGAGAGTGTTGCATCAGGAGTACTTCCGGGTGCCGGAGGTCGGCCCCGGCAAGATGGCGGCCCCCTTGGAGCTCAGCTGCTGGGGAGGTGGCTGGGGGCTCCCTTCGGTCCACAGCGAGTCCCTGGTGGTGATGGTGAGGCCGCTTTGCGGGCCGGGGCGCGGGAGGATGGGGCTGGCTAGCTGCGGGCTGCTGGGGACGCGCGGACCGCCTGCAAGCATCTGGTCCTGTCGGCCTGGCAGCGCTGTCCCGGCTGTGGGAGAAAGCACGCTGGCTCCGCATTTTCAAGCCTTTCTGCAGACCGAGGTCCCCCAAAGCGGGAAGCCTGCGCGTACTCACGGGGGAAGGGGTCGCGCGGGCGCACGGGCAGCTTCAGCCTCTGCCGGTGCAGCTGTCAGAGCTGCTCTGCTCTGCAGACCTGTATGACTACTCACGCAGTCTAAAATGTCTCATTGCAAACTCTGTTTCAGGCTTATGCCAAATTTTCTGGCGCACCCTTGAAAGTCAATGTTATAGATAACACCTGGAGAGGTTCAAGAGGTACAGTATAAGCTTTCACACGACCCTTTCTGCCCATTTAAAACACTGGCACCCCTTCCTTCATTAAAGCCATGGAGTATATACAGCCCTAGACTACTTTGTGCCTTTTAGCTTCTTAGAATGACCTTGGCTGCGCATTGGTTGTGGTTTGATCATTCTGAGTAATAACTCAAAGTGCAAGCCAAATCTGTGGAAAATAGGAGAAATAGGAGAAACGAAATTGCTTGCTGTGAAACCTGCAAATGTTCTCACCCACACTTCTCACATGTGCAGTTGGTATCGTTTTTTAAAGTATTGTAATCTTCAGAATAAATCACGACTTTTGCTTGTGTGTAAACTGTTTTTGATTATAGGTGATGTACCAATTTTGACAACTGAAGACAACATTGTTTCTCAGCCTGCAAAAATACTAAGCTTTTTAAGAAAGCAGGTGGGTGGCTCCTTTTGAAGAGGCAGAGAGTTTTCTGCATGCTGCTCTTTTATTATTATTATTTCAGACTGGGCTATCCTCTAGTCTATGCCGGCCAGCCACTCTGCAGCAGAGACTGGCCACAAATTCTACAATTGTAGGTGTGACCCATCACACCTGGCATCCTGGATGCCTTTTGCTTTTAACTCATTATAAGATTGTTTTGTTTTGTTTTGTTTTGTTTTCAACTCATTGGACAAGTGGGAATGCCTAGATTTTGACAACAGAAACAAAAACTTGAATTTTGTGAATTTAACTTGAAATTTGTGAATTTATTGAAATGCATGTAAGAAGATTCAATTTAGTTATTCAAGATTACTCTTGTTTGCTAACATTATCACTTTAGTCCCATTGTTGCTATACATTTCATGCTAAGTGTGACAGGTAAGCTTTTATGGAGAAAAACATTATAATACGTTTTTTTCTTTCTTGTTAAAAATAATTGCTTTTACTCATTAACCATGTACAACATGTACGCTGAACAAAGGCTGTTAATAAGCATGGAAACAATAGAAGTTAGTTGGCAAACCGCAAGCAGCATTTATTTACTTAGCGTATGGTGCTGAGAACCCTCTGCATTGAGGAACAGTTTTCACTGGATTAGTATTGCCCCCTTCTAATGTCAGGTGTGACATTTGGGAGGAGAATAGGAGTGTTAATCTGTTTAGCTTCCTTGTCCTTGGGATGTTCTTTGACTTATAAGAGCTTTTGTGTTTGTTTTTAATAGAAATATAATGCTGATTGTGAGCTCTCTGCAAAACAAGGGGCAGATACACTGGCTTACATTGCTCTCCTGGAAGAGAAACTTCTCCCTGCTGTGGTGAGCATTTCTGAATACTACAGGATCTTAGTGACTTAGTTGAAAATGTAGTCTGTTTAGAAAGATCAAAGGGTAGGAGTCTTAAAGAGGAAATTTCCCAAATTAGTTTTGATCTTTTATAGTATGACAAAACTGGATTCTCATAGACATTCTCATAGACACTTCTGTTGAAGGGGATAGTTTGGATTGTTTGCTTGGACAGGGAAACATTCTACCTCGGAGTTATACTCCAGCACAATAACATTGTATAGGGAATAAACACTATTAGTGGAAGATGAAACTTTGCTCCTTGTATAGAATTGCTTATATTGTAGTTCATTCACTTGGTGAATATTTACTTACTATGTGCTAGGCTTTATTTTGGGTATTGAGATATAGCAGTCAACAAAATCTGTAAGTTTAAAATAAACTCATTTTACCTTGAGTCATTTCATCTGGAAAATTTAAGTGAAGTTACTTTATTCAAAGACATATATATATATATATATATATATATATATATATAAAGCCTGTCAAATTGATTGAGTGATGTTTATGTTAGCAGAGCATCCTGTAATGGTTTCTCCTTCCTTTGGCAGCTTCACACTTTCTGGGTTGAGAATGACAACTACTTTACTGTGACAAAGCCGTGGTTTGCCTCCCGTATCCCTTTCCCTCTAAGTTTAATCCTGCCTGGAAGGATGTCGAGAGGAGCACTGAACAGGATTCTCTTGACAAGGGGAGAACCTCCCCTCTACCATGTCCAAGAAGTGGAAGCACAGGTACAGCCAGCACTCTGTAGGGAAGGAAAAGACGCAGGGCCTTATCTCTAGGTGCTACCTCCAAGTGTTTATCATCCTTTTTAGATCTACAGAGATGCCAAGGAGTGCCTAAACCTCCTGTCACATAGATTGGGGACATCTCAGTTTTTCTTTGGTGACACGTGAGTAAATTCCCTTAAAAGTCATTTTGCTATAAGCCACCTTTTTGTGTTTATATCAGTGTACTGGAAAAGTGCTTGATTTATAGCTTTCTTTGTCCTGTTACTAGAAAAACTTCACAAAAGTACTGCCACATTGAAAACACTATTTGGAGTTACCTACATCTGTGTTCCTGGGTCATGGTTACTCATATTTTGTTCTAAAATAAGCTAACTTATCCCTTAAAAAAAAAGTAGCAAGACATAATGGCACATGCCTCTGATCCCTGGCAGAGGCAGGCAGAACTTTGTGAGTTCAAGGCCAGCCTGGTTTACAGGACAGCCAAAGCTACACAGAGAAGCCCTGTCTCAAAAGACCAAAAAAAAAAAAAAAAAAGCCAGGCATGGTGGCATATGCCTGCGATCCCAGCACTCAGGACACAAAGGCAAACTCATGCCTGTTGCCTTGAGTTCAAGGCCAGCCTGGTCTACAAAGTTCAGAACAGCCATGGCTACACAGAGAAACCTTGTCTCGAAAAAACCAAAAAGAAAAACCAAAAACCCAGCCAGTGATTTTGCTGGGAATATGAGAGCCCCTCCGAGGCCACACTCCAGTAGCCACTGGGCTCTCTCCTCCCTGGGATGTCCAGCGCATGTCTCTTTTACCCACCGCACTGATTGTGAAGCCACTGGCCAGTGCACACATGCCACTCTGCCCTTCCTGATGAGCACCCTGAAGGGAGTCACCCAGCTATTTCTCAGTCCCAGGGCTGGTGGTTGGTTTTGGAATTCTGTTCACTATTGGTACTTATTTACTGTATAAATATAATCTATCATTTGTATCATGGGGAAAAAGTCATTCTGACATGTGTGGATATATTCAGTGAAATGTGAATTAAAGCTCGTTCTCCCATCGTCAAAAATCAGTTTTTTACTTCAAAGGGAGATCTGGAGGAATAGCTTAGTGGCAGAGCTCTCAAATAGCATCTACAAGGTCTCAGAGTTCTGTTCTCAGCCCATAATTTATTGGGTTTTTATAGGAAGTTTTTGTTGTTGTTGTTGGCCTCAATCTAACATCAGCCTAATGTGCTTCATATGTGGCTGTGAAAGTATCAGGCATTATTCCTACCCTCCTTATACTCCATAACATTTGTAGTTTACAACTTCAATTTCTTCTGAATAAAATAAAGTATTCTTAAAACTCTAGTTTAAGAAATGCTGGTAAAACCCTAGATGCCTCATCTTTGGAAACAAAAATAGAAGTAAACCATTCAAAAATTGATGTTGCCTATTAGACAGATAGTTTAATGAGAACTTTTGAAATAAAATCCAAGTCAGTCTTCCCCTAAGTGCTTCTGAAGGAGAGTCCTCTGTTTCCAGGCCTTCCACCTTAGATGCCTATGTGTTCGGTTTCCTTGCGCCACTTTATAAAGTGCGTTTTCCCAAAGTTCACTTACAAGAGCATCTGAAACAGCTCTCCAACTTGTGCCGCCTCTGTGATGACATCCTGAACAGCTACTTTAGGCATGGGCCCGGGGGTAAGTCAGCATTGCTTTAGCAAATGTTTACTCAAATTGGGTATTTTAATAGTCTCCTGACAGTGCAGAAGTGGAACAAGTTTGTAGATTGTCTTGGATTCTGGTGGTTTTCCCATCTGCTCCCATGTTCTTATTTACATGGAGAAAGAGACCTGTGACTGCCACCGTTCTCCGGACTTTACACTTTGTGTGTATCTTCTTTATAAGTATGCCCCTCTACCCCTGAAATGAGTCATTTGCTCTTAAAAGATTAAGACACATGTGTTGAGTCCCTGCTGAAAAGTAGTGTTTATCCTCATGCAAATGGGCAGTCGCTTCAAATGGTTTTTACCTGCTGCTTCCTGCATTTTCCTCCATGAACAGAAATCAGTAGAGTTGACTTTGGTGAGGCATACTCCCATGATTCTGCTGCCTGAAACTGATTGCACCAAACAGGTGATATAGTAAGTGGGGGATCCAGGCACTTAGGATGGCATCTCTGTGACTAGGGCCTCATGCTTAAGGGACCAGAGCACTAAGTTTACATTTGTCAAGGTGGCTGAAGTAGTCCTTTAAAGAAACAGAAGTTATGAGGTAGCTGGCTTAGGTAAACAGGCTGTTTCTTAAGTTGGGTTATACGCTTTACATGTAGGGAGGTCTAGGACGTGGGAGGTTAGGGAACTAAGTATCATCCAACTTTGTCATTCTGGGGCAGGGGCTCGTAAGCCTGAGTACACAGCTCTTCCACATATCCCAATTAAAATGTCCTGGGCTCAATCCCAGAAAGCTCTACTTTTAAAAATCCTTTGGTGCCTACTGAGTAGCTTATAGAAAATTGATGCCTCTAGCGTTAGAACCAGTGACGTACGTGTAATGATTAGGGAGAGAGCCAGCGTAAACTTGAGACCACTGTGCCCTCAGTAACCACTGTGGCTGGCTGCATGTTTTGTGGCTCAGGGTCTTCTGTAGACTCAGTTCGGTGTTTTCCTCTCTAGTTTCCTCTGGAGCACTGTTGGCCCTCTGAACTTTGCTCTTGAACCCAAAATATTTTTTTCTCTTTTGTTTTCTTGGAGAGTGTGTGTATGTGGAGCAATTGGGAAAGTGGGAAAACAAAACAAAAAAAAATTTTTTTCCAATCTTAAACAGCTTGAAAGGTTTCCTTTCTTTCTCTGATTTCTCTCCTGGCTTCTCAGGCATCTCTCCAGCTGGACAAGAAATGATAGATGCAAACCTGCAGAAACTCACACAACTTGTAAATAAGGAATCCAACTTAATTGAAAAGGTCGAGTTACTTTGTTATTTTCCTTTCTGTGGGAATGTTATAATTTGAGTTATATATTTATTTTATCCTTTTAGTTTTTAAGAGTTTACTTTTCAAAAGGCTGTTTGAATATACTTTTAGTGAAGATTTATTGGATACAGTGTTTTGAAGCCAGCAGTGGCCTGGTTGTATTGAGGAAAAATGGAATAATTACATTGGGTTTGCTTTTTATTATATACTTTAGATGTGTCAAGTTGGGTGACTTAAAAATTGCCTGTAAAGAGAGCAAATTAGAAGCAAGCCTGGCTTGCTGCCCTTGCTCTGTACTGAAGCCACTTTCTGCAGGTCTAAGCACCCATGCCCCTCTTCATTATTAGTAATGTCTTTCTCTTTTTTCCCTCATGTCCCTCCTTTCTTCTGGTTCTTCTCTATCCTGAATGGAGTCCACAGTGTTTTTACTATTTTAGTTGTTTTGTTACTTCGGAGAGTCTCAATCTGCAAGAGACTCCTAGGAACTGGGTGTGGAAGGGAGCCGACAGTAGATCTGAGAGGGCTCTGATTGAAACCTACGAAGAGGGGTTGTGTTTGCATGCCATGCTGTCCACTTTTAGTTTGGAAAAGAGGTGTAGTTAAAAAAACAATTGTGTCACAGTGAGAAGAGCTGTTTGAAGCTTCGGCTCTGCTGCTGACTTTGGGACCCAGAAAAGGTACTTCTCCTTTCGGAACCTCATTTTCTCCTGTCACATAGGGCGGGCTGTGCCTGCTTTTCTGTATGAGGGGAGGATTTGCAGAACACAGCTAGAAGTATTCTGTCCACCCTCACTTTTGGAAGGTGTCTTAAGTGAGGCTCTGGTCAAGTTCTGCAGTGTATGCTTTTTTGTGGAATTTGTGGTGATAGTAAGAGTTTGGCTGAGTATGAGCCACGTTGCTTTTTATGGATACTGAGGCAGCTGGTTTTTGAGGTGTGACATTTATAATTTTTGAGTGATGGTTTGACAGAGAAAGGTTTCTCCACCAGTCCTGCAAACATCCAGTTCTGTCCTCTTTTTGGCTGTAGTCTTGATAGAGAAGCCACAGTCCACAAAAGTGGAGCCTCAGCCTCACTCAGATGTGCCTTGTACTTTCTACAGATGGATGGCAATCTCCGCCAAAGCCCTCAGCTTCTTCCTCGGAAGCTGCCAACCCTCAAACTGACTCCAGCAGAAGAAGAGCCTAATTCCTTACAGAGGCTGTCACCGTGACAGTCAAAGCCAGACACAACCAGAGTCTTATGGTTGTTGCAGTGACTGCTCATGCCGAGGGCATGGAGACCCAAAGAAGATGCCGTCATGGGTTTCAGAAAGACTGTAAGGCAGGAGTAGCTGTGTGTGGCTTCTTTTTAGATTAGGGAAGCGTTTGTTTTTTAGCCTGGTGGTGCACTGTGAGTAAAGCTGAACGCCAAGTGAACGGGTGTGTGGGCAGGGCAGACTCAGGCACTGTCTGTAAAAGTCCCGCCTTAGTCAGGGCACATCTTTGCCTTTCATTCAGGTGTTGCCGACCAAAAGCTGCAATTCTGTTCTGAATGTGCATTTTTAATTTATTTAAATTAATGTATTAACGTAGTTTTTCTTAGGCCCATCTCAGTACATAATATGTGGCTTTTTGGCTGAGACCTTATTCTTCTTTAGAGAAATCTGATGCCTATTTTAGGAACTAGGAAAAATAGAAATTATTTCAGTAGAAAAGCCTGTGTTTAACTTTAAAAAAGCAATGAGGAATGTGCTTCTTAATTATTCTCTCATAAGTCTGCTCCTCTGGTGGTTTAGTACCACATATGCAAATGTTAAAGGTGGTTTCTATAACACCCGCAATAAGGCATGCACACGAGCGTCAGTATGATTAAGTGCTTGCTGACATGTTTGATCTAAGCTAGCAAAGGCGAACATGGCAGCTTTAGTGCACCATTGCCCATTTTCTCATTCTTGTATCAGTTCCAGAGCTGGAAGTCTAGCTCATCTTACTGTATTTGTAGGAAACCGTATTGAAGTGTGCTCAGTTAACTGCTAGCATCCTTGGGATGAGCCATGGCGAGCATCCTGGAGATGCCTCCCATGTGTCTGGTTTCAGTGCTCCACACTTGACTCAGAACAGTTTCTTTATAATAAGCATATCATGTAATCACATACTTTCTGACCAACTATTATTTCCTATGTATTTTTAACTGCAGTTGAAGGATCCAAAGGAATAAGTGAGAAATAGCAGGTTTCTAAGGTGATTTATAGTTATTGATTGCTGAATGGATTGTCCAAGGATTTCCTGTGTGGTATTTGACATATAATAGTGGTTGAGGTGCTTCTGTTGTTGTGAAACCACTTCTGGGATTTTTAAAATATAGGACCATGTTTTGGATTAGTGTCTTACAAGATTATTACGGTGCTCAGCAAATTCCTGGAGTCATGCTGTGCTGTCTAGAGCCTCCGCTGCTGTGAGCAGAGCAGACCTCATCCACGTTTGACTTGCTCCCCAGCTTGCTCGTGTTTCGGTAGATGAAAGCCTTACATTGCTGTAAATAGTTTTTCTCGAAAGCTTTAAGTGAGACACAGGTAATCTTCACCATCTTGTTCTTCTCTTCTAGTGCATTTGCATTTAGGACAAACATACAATGAGTTTCACAATACTTCTTTAACAAAGTGTGCATGTGAGTGAGTGTCTATGTGAGGGACTGAGTGTATGCATGTGAGTGTGTGTGTTGTGTGTGTTCATGTGTTTGTGAAAGTGGGGGGTGTAAGTGTGTGTGTTTGTGAGGTTAGTGTGATGTATGTTCAAGTACGTGGGGGATGTGCATTTGCGGGCTGTGTGTGAGTGAGTGTGTGAGTGAGTGAGTGAGTGAGGGGTGGTGTGTGTGTGTGTGTGTGTGTGTGTGTGTGTGTGTGTGTGTCACATCTTCTAAGGCAAGTTACAGCAATCTGAAATCTGAGTATTTTTTTTTTTTAAATAATGATCAAGAGGCTTCCTTGCCTCTAGGATTGACTTTATAATGGAGAAAGATGGTTAGCAAGTTAATCAGATATCTGTTTATGCTTTAATCAGTGTTAGTCATTTTCAATTATGATTTAATAGTAAACCTTCCAAAACAGTATTTGAAGTAGTTTACAGTTGTAAAACACATGTAAAAATAGGACAGTAGTTTCTGAAAAATAACAGTTCCTAAGAGAAAGAACCATAGCATCACTACTAGGTTGTAAAATCTAACTGTGTGTGAAGTTAGAAGATAATACTGATTTAAGTAAGTTCTTCTAATGAAACTGCTAATTTCTGTGAGGAGGAGACTGTTTACATGTGTAGAAGAATGTAGCCGGTCCTGTTCAGAGGACACTGTGCTTCAACCAAGAAGTGTACTCTACTATTTTGTTCCTGGAATGCTTAATCAAAAGGACTCATTTCAGAATAACGAACATCTCTTCTTTATGGTGGAGAGGATGTTTGTGGAGTGATGTGCTTGCTCTGTCTCCCTGATCTGAACTGCCTTTAGCCTCATGCTCTGTGTCCATGTGCTTCAAGACCACATTTCTGAGATGCAGAATCTGAGCTGGCGAAGAAAGAACTTAGCTGTTGGGTTCCTTCCGTCAGCTTTCTTTGTCTAAGCAACTGAGATGACAGGAAGCTGTAACTGAGCACAGAGCACTTTAGGGACCAGGCACACAGAGAAGCTCTTAGAAGGAAAAAGTTTCCTAGACTGGACAAAGGGCCCATGGTCAGGATGTTTGTGCACTGGGAGAAGTGGTCCATGGCCTTGACCGAATACTGTGAGCCATTGGGAGGTGACATGAGAACACAGCACGGCATGAAAACCGGGACTGTGCTCATTTTTATTTTTGTTGATTGTACAGAGCGAGAAAGAAATCGGTTCACTAATTCCCACAGGGTAAACATAGACACTCTTGCCACAGTGATGACCCAACACTAAAGAAACTGCAAACAAGGACAATGGGAATTTCTTAACTTTGGCCTCACAAAAGGTTCACATTAACAAATTTCAGTGTTGGTGTGCTTGAATTACTTTGGGGTAGTAGTTTTTTTTCCAGTATTTTTTCCAAGCAACCATTTTTATTTCCCCTTGTAATCCTTAACAATTTATAATTGATAGATAAAGTAACACAAAGGAACAAAGACACTTATATTAGCGCTAAGTTTAAAATTGTTCAAAGTCGGGCTGGAGAGATGGCTCAGAGGTTAAGAGCACTGTCTGCTTTCCCAGAGGTCCTGAGTTCAATTCCCAGCAACCACATGGTGGCTCAGAACCATCTATAATGGGATCTGATGCCCTCTCCTGTCGTGTAGGCATACATGCAAATAGAGTGCTCATATATAAATAAGTAATCTAAAATAAATAAATGAATAAATAAACTCGTACTTATTTAAAAAAAATTGTTCAAAGTCTAACAGTTGGGAAAACTAACATCAACAGAGGCTGAAACTGGTAACAGTATTTTGAGAAAAACCACTTTGTTCATGTGATCAAGTGGTATTTGAATTGGATGATGTTTCTTTGGAGCCTCTCAAGAATGTGCACTTACCAAGCTTGTTAAAAAAAAAAAAAAAAAAAAAAAGTTTTCTCCAGGTTGGGGTGGGAAATGACAATTTTCAACAGCCACAACCATAACCACTCAAAGCCAGATTATAAATACTTAATATAATTGGGGGCTGACAGGTGGCTCCGCAGTTAGGAGAACTGCTCTTGCTGAGGACCTGAGTTCAGTTCCCAAGGGCCTTTGGCAGGTGGTTTACAGCCTTCTGTAATTCTAGCTCCAGGAGATCTGGCGCCCCCTTCTGGAATCCGTGAGCACCTGTATTCACAATGTGCTGTTGTTCCCTCCCCAACACATACACATAATCACCAGTAAAGTAAAATTAAATATACATAGGAAGCGGAATGTTATGGCCCTGGGTTATCTTACTTCTGTTTTTCTAATACTTTAAGAGTCTATAATTATTTCCAAGTAAAGGATTTTAGAAGCAAACCTAATAGAGTAAGTTTATCACTGCATAGCTGTATCTTAAAACTTGATGCTGCAGACCTAGTATTTAGTTCCACATGAGAACTGCATCATATTAACTGCATCATCTGATGAAATTTTTATTTGATTCTTGAGCTTAAAGAAAAAGCAGCTCGGGTCTCTAACAAACACTTCTAAAGATCTCCTTTGCCTCTGCCTGTTCTAACAACCTCACACCAAAAGCTTGTTTTCTATAAGATATCAAAATGCTTATGCTTTATGTTTCTCGTGTGTGCTTCCCCCTCTGGCAGCTGGCTTCATAACTGAGGACAAATTATTTTGAGTCCTTTGCTCTGTCTTTGTGTGGGCATTCCTTTTCTGCCTTACGTTTTTTCTCTCTGTGGTCACAGTGTGCGCCGTGTTCATTGACGCCACCTTCTATTGCAGAAGGAGTGGCAGAGCCATTCACTTTTTGTTTTAAACTCGAAGGGATTTTGTAATTGACGTTGTCCTGTCCTGGTTATTTTTAGAGCTGAGATCCTGAGCAAAGCCAGAGGTCATTTGGGTTGTGATGGCAGTCTTTGTATATTGTTCTTGGTGGTAAGAAACAGTTATGTGTTTGTCTCCCCACCCCTGCTTTGCTGCTCTGCAGTCATGTGAAATTACATTTATTTCCTAGTGTTTTCATATTTTAAACAAAATTTAAAGAAATCTATGGTTACATGAAATCTTAGATCAGTAGTCTCGCCCTGAGAGGTTTAATTGAAGCTTCATTGGATTCCAGAATGCTGGTTTTCATGATCGTGTAAACTGGGAAAGGTTTCTCTTTTTTGTTTTTAAGTGTTTGTAAAGTAGTTTGATGTGGAAGTTGATGTTGGGTGTTGCAGTCTCTAGGAGCCCAGGCAACGTGTTTTGTACTCAGGACTGTTGTGACCAAAACAAATGGGGACTCTGGGAATTACAAAGGCTTAAAAATGTTCTTCCAGAAAAGTGGTCCGTGGATTACTTAAAAGAATTAGCATTCTTGAACAGTGATATAATAAAAGGGAAGCTTGAGCTGATTACTTTTGAATAGCAAGGGGTGTGCTGTGATAGACTTACTCAAACCGAATAAGCTAGCTTCTTGCAAAGGGGAAAAAACACTAGTTATTTTTGTGCCCTCATTATTATTAATTTGGAATTAAAAGGTAAAAACAAATTTATGCAAGAGTAGTTTCTAAGAGGGTATTTGGCAGAATATATTGTTATAATAAGTTTAAAAAATGCTGGATTAAGCAAAGCAGAGTTGCTTTAGGCTTTTCAGAACCTTTGATGTGTAAATGTGTGTTTTTGGTTTCCAGCTTCAGAGATGTTTTACTAGCAAAGAGGACAGCTGAGCAGGGCTATATGTGGGCATGTGTTTGTCTCCCAGGAGGAGTTCGTGTCTCCACTGAGAACCTCAGTTTGATATACCACTTCCCTAACTTATTTTACTGAGAATTTTTTTAAAGTAGGTGTTTTATGGGATTTGCGTTCTGAGAAATTTACTAAGGAGAACACTGAATATTTTGTTCGATTGTTCATTACAAAGTTTCTGCTTTTGAGTGCTTCTCTGATGACGGTGAATGTAACTAAACAAGCTTTATTTCATTTCAGAGTATAAATCAGCTCACCAATAAAGCTATGGCATCTTGTCAACCTTTGCAACATACACAGTTGCAGGCGTGGCACTCCAGGGTTTGGATGTGCATTTGAAACACAATCTGCCTTTGGGCTGGGAGGTCTGGTGTAATGGTGAGCATCTAGCCACATGAAAAGCTCTTGGATCTTAGTTCTGATGCTTCAGTTCGCCCCTCGAAAATTAGAGCAATGCCTTTTAATCATGTAGTTTACATATCCCAGATCCTTGGAAATGACCTGCCAGAGTTTGCATCAGACCTCGGAGAGCCATCTGAGATGGAGAAGGCCATGCTGGCTGCTTGTTCTTTGGTCCATGGGCTACTGGAATTTTGATCTGTTGGAGGAGGGGTGTATACAAGCCTTTAAGTTAAGTGCATAAAGATGAGGTGGGTTTCTCTTAGGTCTTATTTTATTTCGTAAGATAGAAACTATCTTTAAGCAAGACTGTGGTGTTTGTAGCTTCACTTCAGCTTTCTGGAAGATCAACAGTGAAAAAGACAAGAACTGTGTATGTATGCATATTGGCTCTGTCTCCCCAAGTCTGTCTTTGAATGGCAAACATTTTAAACATCTGTGCAAGTGTTCAAATGCTGTAGTCTCCTATTGTGCAAACAATCAAATCAGCAACGCTAGCCATGGCCTCATGCTCTAGCCTTGCCTACTATGAATGTATTCTATCTAGAGGTGATGTATAAATACCCAGAAGTGGAAACGATGATCATTGTTAAGAATTTATTCTGATAACGAAAAACTGGATATAATCTCAAAATAGCTATTTTCTCAATAAAATTTCAAATCACCTAAGTATTTATTAATTCTTGGTGTAATAGTCTTTATTCATTGAGGTGATGGTCCTCCCTGGTTGAAAATAGTTACAGGTTACCAAGTAACCTGAGCTGGAGGGAGCACTGCTCATGTTTCGTTCACCCGTGTTGTCTAAGGTACATGGGTGACATTGTGAGATCTGCACCCCGTGCTGACAGGTAGAGGCCCGCTTTCTACTTTCTAGGCCACTGACATGCACACTTCGTCGGACAGCTACAGCTTTGCAGTGTAGCTGCCTCTTCATGCCCTCAGTTCTGTCATTCTCCTCCGTTGCCCCTTTGTCTACCCAGCAGCTCCATTCAGCTGAATGGAGACACTAAGAAAGAACACTGTTGTAGATTGGAGGGAAGATACTGGTGTTTGCTCACGTGTGTGTGTGTGTGTGCGCGTGTGCGCGCATGTGCACACATGTGCACTCACGTGGACAGTGAGTGTTCTTTCTCAGGTGCTCTCTACTGTCTCCAGAGTCTTTTATTACCCTCAGGTGGCCAGCAAGCCCCAGGACTTCCCATTTCCGTCTTCTCAGTTCTGGGATTACAAGCTTGTGTTAGCTTGTGCAGCTTTCTCAATGTTGGTTCTGGGGATCAGACTCAGGTCCTCATAAGCAAGTACTTTATTGACTGAACCATCTCCTCACCTCTCTTCCCACCTTTTAATGGGGTAGGACAAATGGATGTAGGGAGCATTGTGGTTTCTTTATATGTTTGAGGGAAGAGTCCCTGACAGCTGTCCACCAGAGTTGTTCTCACTGAGGTAGAATTGACATGCACTGAAATGTCTTCTGGGACTGTTCAGGTAAGTATTTCTCTACCTTCAGAAACTGCTACATCTTTGCTGACTTTTGTATCCCCTGAACCTGAAGCAGGTGAGGTAATGTGACGTGGTCACCTGCTTCCTACAAGAGAGCAGCATAGGATGCTGTTGTTGGGGGAGGATGGAATTCCATGGAGGAAAGAGAACTACCCAGGATTCACAGCCGAGAGCCATTCAAAGAAGTAAGAAAATTCTCATTCTTAATTGCTCCCCTCAGAGGGTTGGCCTTACTTGATGCTGTCTGAGGCACTCAGAGTCCCTGAGTAGTTAGTGGAGGGCAGGCTATGGCACAGACAATATTTTGCTGCTTCTTTGCCACAAATAGCAGCTAGTAGTAGGGAAAGTGACCCTTTGCCTGCCACAGTCCTAGGTGAACAGACCCAGCAGAATGGAGATGAACAAGAGCTGGGGGGTGGGGAGTGGAGGGATGGCTCAGTGGGCAAGCACACTGGCTGCTCTCTCCAGAGGACACCGGTTCTATTTCCAGCACCCAGAAGGCTGCTCACAACCATCTGTAACTCTAGTTCCAAGGATCCAACACTACCTTCTGGCCTCCTTCCTCAGGCACTGCACACATGTGCTAAAAAGGGCATGCAGGCAAGACACTCATGCACATAAACAATGAACCTAATTTAGAAAAAGAGCTGGCGTCTGTATGTTGTAAATAAAAAAAAAAAAAAAAAAAGACTGTTGGTTTATATAATTTTATTATTAACCCAACATTATCTCAGTGGTATTATCTAACCCACTATCCCAAATAATCAACACAGACACCTGTTAGATTTTATAATTGCCTTATTTACCTTGGGCTGGGCAGATACATTACCTATACTGTTTCAGTAACCTCACCATCTATCCCCCAGCCCCCATCCAATACCATCCACCTTAATCTGCCTCATCTGGTCTACCATCATGCTACTTGCTTGTATTTTTCATCTGGGCATTTTCATGCCATTACTGGAGTCGTTCCTCTCAGCCCATGTGGGTTTTTTTTTTTTGTTTTGTTTTGTTTTGTTTTGTTTTGTTTTGTTTTGTTTTTCTCCACACTAACCCATCATGGTGTCCTCCTTCCTCTTCTCTTCAGGTCTATTCCCCATGATTCTCCTGTCCTCTCCAAGCCTAGGAACCTTAGCCACGCCTGCCCCATTCTGCCCTTCTCAGGTATAGGCTCTTTAATCAACCGATCATGTATGTCATAGGCAGGTTTACAAAATAAGAATAGATGTAACCAGATCTTGAGGACCAGTAACACACATCAGACCAACCTCTGACATCTGTACCTGGTTTGAAGTGGAAATTGTAGTGAGGAAAAGTTAGGATTTGCTGTTCTGTGAACGAGTTCCTAAGTAACTTAGCCTCTCATGATCTGACAAGATTGTCCTGTGCAGAAGTCAGCCTCCTCAAATGCTTTCAGCATCTGTGATTAAGAGACCAAGACAGCTGTGCATCAGCAAAGACATTTCTAATTTCTACCAACCAACTGAGGCTCCAAATGCTGCACATTTCCAAGTGGGGGAGAAGCTCTTATATTGTCCTCTGAATAAGACAATGGAAAGAACAGACAAACTTTCACAATATAAATACAGTTAAGGATTGGTTCCTTATATCTCTTTGGGGAGGGTGATATTCTCAAGAATTCACATTTTGAAAAAGTTAAATCTTTTGGTATAAAAGAAAGCATTTCTGTTTCCCAAACATCTCAGTTAGGACCAAATGGACTTAGGGATCATTTTAAAATGCAGAAAGCAAACTGATGTATTTGAAGACTTTTCACATTCTTCCAGTTTTTATATACATTATCCCAGTTTTCTCCACGAGAGAGAAAATTGTCTTTTAAACCTGATAAACCATTTTGAATCGTACATAACATCTTGAGCTGTGATAAAATGGCTCAGGAAAACAGGTGTGTATTAGGGGGAGGGGATATGTAGGTGTAGAAATTAAGAAGAAAGAGCAAAAAGCAATCAAAACTAGTTACAAAAAATGTGCAGAAAATGCAGTCATTGAAGCATATGTCCAAAGGTGGATTCCTGTAAACTTAACCCACCTCTGTAGTTTTGAAGCTGTTTAACACACATTCATGCAAGGCTCAGTGCCTAAGTCTCTGGTGCCATGTGGAAGCCAGAAATGCCCACACCATTTAAATCCCATGTCTATCCTGCTTCTTAATCTTCTAAGGAGAAGGCTTTCGTGGTGGTGCTGACTGAATGCAGAGGTCTCCAAGCACTAGTTCATTTTGGGAGGTGGATAAGAAGGCTCTAAGGACTGCTCTCAAGGAACCCATAATAGGAGATAAATGAATGTATTCTGTCCAGGATTGTCTCAGTCTGACTTAGGCTGTTTTACTTCATGTTGCTATAACTGTTTTGTGCTCAGCCTAGGTAATTTATAAAGAAAGGAAACCATTTCTTACCATTATTGAAGCTGGGAAGTTCAAGATTAAGGGACTGCCCTCTGGTGATGCCATATGCTGTGTTATTCATGTTGGAAGGTGGAAGGTCAGGAGAATGGGAATAAGGAAGTGGGGCTAAATTCAACCCCGTAAATAACTAACCCATTCCTGTAATGCTAGCATTCATCATTCTCAGGGCCGAGCCCTCATTGCCTAATCCCCTCCCTAAGCTTCCAACTCTCAATACTAAAGCTTAGGGATTAAAGTCCTAACTCATGGTCTTTGAGGGAAACACCAAAACCCTGGTTAGTAGCAGTGGTTTGCCACCCACACAGGTTTTCCTTCTGCCCCACAGACATATTTAGATATACATTACCAAAGGTCAAAGGCAAAGAAGACGGCATATGTAGCTTATATGACCAGTCCTGCAAAGCCCTGCAGTAGATGTGGAGCATCTAGTCCCTAACTGTTGGGAAACTTAAAAGGGATCAAGGGTGAATTGAGGGCTTAAAAGATAAGAACATTCCAAGCTGGACAGAGCAAAGGCATGAGGCCTCAACTGTACTCAAAGAACTGCAGGCAACTGAGGAAAGCTGAGATGCGGAGAGGCGGCAGGAAACCCTCCCAGTCCTTGCTTCCATGCATGTATGGGGAAGGCGTAGGAGTTTAGTGTAGTTGAGATGGAACCTGGGGTTGGAGGAGCAGGATGCTTCATTGCCTGTTCTTGGGCTCTGGTGTGTGGTGAGGATCTTGCTGTCATAGCGAAGCTCTGGAGACACTTGTCTGGTCAGGATGGAAGATGCTGCTGCCCAACAAAGGATTGTCTGAACCCAGATTCTGATGGGCTGCTGTGAGAGACACAAAGCCTTAGTGGAGTTTACACAACAGAAGCAGATCATAAAACGGGGTGCCCAGCAGAGGCTTTGAAGAAATAGAAGAGCAGCCTGCTGTTGGGGGAGTGGTAAGTAGCAGAGTTTGGGAGCACAAACTGTCTAGGTGGAAGAAATCAGTCTTGTGATTAAAAAAAAAGCTGGGGATGAAATCAGGTCATCAAAGGATTATTCAATGACTTAACCATGGTTAGAGGCTGAAGAAGAATGGGGTTAAAAAAAAAAAACAACGATGGGTTCAGAGTTTAAAAGCCAGATTTAAATCGCCAGAGTGGTGATTTTCAGTAGCTTGACTTTTATTCTGAATTACCCTTTATTATCCTGTAATGGGTAAAAAGTAGAATTATAATTATTTAATATATAACAACAAGCTTGAGTATTTTTTCCATTCTTTGAATTTCAGTTCTAAGTTACTGCTGTATTTTGGATAGAGAACAGATTCAAGGCTTATCTTGGGGTTGATTCTGTTTGGAAACAGTGGAAACTTTTAAGGGATGCTGCCTACTTGTAAGGGGTGCTGGGAGGCACACAGCCTCAAAGGGGGCTGCTGGGACTCCAGTGCCCTTTTCCCGTTTGCCTCCTGCCAAGTGTGTGCTCTCAGTGTGATGAACCTGTGCAAAAAACAACAAGGCTTCCGGGCCCGAAACTTCTGAAACCAGCAGTCACAACAAAGCCTTTCTCTTTAGGAATTGATGGTGTCTTGTGGTGGCAAGCTTGCATGTCTGTCCTTGCATATTCCGCAGCAGAGGTGCTCACTTATCGTAGAACTGCCGCCTACCGGCTGTTCAACAAGGCTTCCGTGAAAAACGAACGGGCCAGTGCAGATCGCTCTCCACATGTGGCAAGTGCTCGGGGTGGCTTTTCCCTCTTCACCCTCTGCTGGGTAG